TTGTAATAAGGAATAATTATAAAGTGAGCACTGTATACTTTGTATTCTGTGTTGTAATTGATATCAATTATATTTGAAAATGTAGAAAATATTTAAATTTAAATTAAATCCAAAAATATTTAAATAATATTTAAATTTAAATTAAATCCAAAAATATTTAAATAAATGATATTCTATTATTGTTTAACTGCGTGATTAATCGCACAATTAATTGCGATTCATTTTTTTAATTGCTTGACAATCCTAATTTTAATATAATTAAATGCAGAGTTATACATCTAGGATCAAGGAATGCAGGCTGTACCTACAGAATGAGGGACTGTGTCCTGGGAAGCAGTGACTCTGTAAAGGATTTAGAGGTCATAGGGCACCAGCAATTGAACATGAGCTCCCAATGTGATGCTGTGGCTAAAAGGGATCCTGGGATGTGTAGGGACAGGAGTAGGGAGGTGATTTTAACTCTGTATGTGGAGTTCAATACAGCAATACTGTTGTCACAGATCCACGGGATCTGTGCTACAGCCCAGCCTTTAAGCAGTCCCCTTCAGTGTGCCAGACCCGCAAGGAATCCCACCCTTCCTTCAGGCTAGCCTCTGCAGCTTCACTGCCTCCTAGACTGAGCTTCGGTTTAATGCTGTGAGCTCTGTTCAGCAAACCCAATTGAAACAGACTCCTGGTAACGACTTGGACACTCTTCAGGGACTAATGCACACAAGCAAGTGCTTGCGGTGACACCAAACAGTCTTTTCAAAACAGAGGAGGATGTATTAGTCAACTGGAACACAGCATTGGAAGTCCTTACATTAGCATACAGAAATAAAGGTTAAAACATGGTCCATTATGGTCAATCCAGAGCAATTCACCAGCTATTTCAGGCTCTATCTCTTTGACTCCTTTGTCAGTCCCAGGAGAGAGCAACCAGTTTCCTCCAAAAGCCCACACTGTATTCCCTGACGGTCTTGTCTCAGAGACATTGTGGTTGAGAGATCTTTTATTGGACCAATTTCTGTTGGTGATAGAGACAAGCTTTCAAGCTACACAGAGCTCTTCCTCAGGTCTGGGAATGGTACTTAGTGTCACAGTGTGCCTGAAGTGAAGCGGACAGCATGAGAGTGATGCTGGCTGCACCATAGAGGGAGTGTTACCAGGATGTGAAAAAGGGATGGGGGCTCCTGAACAGGGAGAGCACAGGGTTTTATTACTGACTCTCGGATTAAAATCTTTCCTCTTTGCTTTCAGGGAAGCTGAGAACTTGCTGATGGACAAGCCTCTGGGCTGCTTCCTGGTTCGAATCAGTCAGAGCAGGCCAGGCTACACCCTGTCATACAGGTAACGCACCCACTACTTTTCTTCTACCAGGACTCTTGGCGATGGGCTGCATGGGGCAATGGTAGCACAGTGTGTCAGCTTTCTCCGTGGACTGAGATACTGAGACTGGTGTTTAGACACTCCTGACCTGGGTGCCCTAGACACAACCTAAAGGGACAGATGGAGACTCTGGGGCCCCCATAAAGAAGAGATAGCCTCTGCCTTTTATTGAGGATTAGATTGATTCATGAACTATGTATAGTAGCCGCAGGACATGAGCTGGAGGGGATGCTAAGTATGGGCACTGTGTGGGGAGCTGAGAAGGTGGGCAGTTGATGTAGATGCTGTATGTAGGGATGGATGGAGCTGGAGCTGAGATGGTGGGCAGTTGATGTGGATGCTCCATCCATCCCCACATGCAGCTGTATGGGAGGTGGAGGATGGTGGGTGTGGGTACTGCATGAGGAAGTGCCATATTGGGTGGGAAGGGGGTGGTGTTTCTGGGTCCTGCACTGTGGGATCAGGCTGGAAGAGTTGCTGCCTGGAAGGGGGACAGACTGGAGGAGGTTGGGCTGCATAGGCTAGGAATGTACTCAGAGGGGAGTGTTGGAAAGGGATCCTTTGCACCAATACATGCAAGAGAAAGTGCAGGGTAGTGATGCAGGGGCACAAGCCTGTAAGATCGAATGGGCTAGTGAGGAGTCCTAGATTCTAAGGCCAGAAGGGACCACTATTATCATCTAGTCTGATCTCCTAACACAGGCCAGAGAACTGCCCCAAAATAATGCCTGTTTGAACTACAGCATCTATTTTAGAAAACATCCAATCTTGATTTTAAAATAGTGATAGAGAATCCACCATGACCACTGGTAAATTGTTCCAATGATTAATTACTCTCACTATCAAAAATTTGCCACCTTCGTTTCCAGTCTGAAATTGTCTAACTTCAACTTCCAGCCACTGGATCTTGTACCTTTGTCAGTTAAGCTGAAGAGCCCTGTATTATCAAATTTCTATTCCCCATGTAGGTTCTTATAAACTGTGATCAAGTCACCCTTAACTTTCTCTGTGAGAAACTGAACAGGTTTCGCTCCTAGAGTCTATCACTATAAGGCATGTTTTCCAATCCTTTAACCATCCTCATGGCTTTTCTTTGAACCCTCTCTAATTTATCGATATCTTTCTTGAAATGAGGACATCAGAAATGGACACAGTATTTCCGTAGGGGTACCACCAATGCCAAATACAGAGGTAATAAAACCTCTCTACTCCTGCTTGAAATTCCCGTTAGTGCATCCAAGGATTGTGTTAACCCTTTTGGCCGTAGCATCGCACAGGAAGCTCCTGTTCAGCTGATTATCCCCCCACAATCCTCAAATCTTTTTCAGAGTCACTGCTTCCCAGGAGAGTCACCCATCTTGTAGATGTGGCTTATGTTCTTTGTTCCTAGGTATGTACATTCATATTTGGCCATATTGAAACACACATTGCTTGCATCCAGCTTACCAACCAATTCAGTATATGTGACCAGCCCTTTTTATTATTTAGATTTCCCCAAATGTTTGTGTCACCTGCAAACTTTGTCAGTGATAATTTTGTTCCAGGTCATTGATAAAAATGTTAAATAGTGTAGGGCCAAGAACCATGTCAGGTTACCTCAACTGGCTCATGACTGTGCATGCCTGGCTCAGGGCAGACTGTCAAGAAGTAGGGCACAAACCCTAAATTGGTTGTATGTTCCATAATTAGATTTCACCAACCAAGTAACAAGAGTGAACTCCACAAGCTCTATAAAAGCCTTACCCTGGAGTCACAGACCGTCACATTGGGCACTCCAGTCTATCTTGCCACCCAGGCAAGCTTGTCTTTGTGATAGATGGTCTCTTACAGCAAAAATCACAACAATATTCAGGTTTCAGAGTGGTAGCCATGTTAGTCTGTATCAGCAAAAAGAACAGGAGTACTTGTGGCACTTTAGAGACTAACAAATTTATTTGAGCATAAGCTTTCGTGAGCTAAAACCCACTTCATCGGATGCATGCAGTGGAAAATACAGTAGGAAGATATATAGACACAGATGACATTAAAAAAAATGGGTGTTGCCATAGTAACCGTAACAAGAGTAATCTCTCCCTGGCACGGTCCACCCAAGTGGGGGAGCCGTACCAGTCCCCTCTTTCTCAGCACCGCTCGCCGGCACCGCAGAGTACCACTGCTCCGTGGTGGTCCTTCTCGGAGACCTCGGAGGCGCAATCCTACCGCTCCAATAGGACCAGGAGCAGAAGCTCCAGGTCCTGCCGTGACTGCCAGCCCTGTCTGGCGCTTTGGCCACTGTAGTGGCAACCTTCTGGACACCCTGGGCATATCATCAGAGCCAGGGACAAATCCAAGGATCAAGGTCCAGGTCCGCATCAGTGGCTTTGCCGTCCTTCATCTCTGCGCAAGCAATGTTGAACTGGGTCTCCTTCTAAACAAAGGGAAATCAACGCTGTCCCCTGTTCAGAGGATGGAGTTTATAGGGGCAGTACTGGACTCGACACAAGCCAGGGCATACCTCCCGGAAGCGAGGTTTTGGTTCCTGGGCAACTTCATACGGGGTCTCAGGCAGTTCCCCTACACCACAGCAAGGAATTGCCTGAAGCTCCTGGGACACCTGGCGGCTTGTACCTATGTAGTACAGCATGCTAGACTCAGACTTCGACCACTTCAGTAGTGGCTAGCGTCAGTGTATTGGCCAGTCCGGGGCAGTTTGGACAGGATTATAACCCTGCATCACCTGGTACTCAACTCCCTCCTGTGGTGGCTTGACCCACAGATAGTAGATCCAGAGATCCCCTTCACCAGCCCTCAGCCATCCCTCTCCTTAGTGACAGACGCGTCAGACTTGGGCTGGGGGGCTCATTTGGGAGATCTCAGAACACAAGGCCTCTGGTCTCAGGTGGATCTCGCTCTACACATCAATGTCAGGGAGCTGAGAGCAGCGTGCCTGGCATGCCAGACTTTCAGAGTCCACCTAGCAGGGAGATGTGTATCAGTCCTGACAGACAACACCACGGCAATGTTTTACATCCACAAACGGGGGTGCATGCTCCTCTCTCCTGTGCCAGGAAGCCCTCATGCTGTGGGACTTCTGTGTAGAGCACTCGATACACCTGCAAGCATCGTACCTCCCTGGAATACAGAACGAGCTGGCGGACCATCTCAGCAGGTCGTTTCACGGTCAAGAGTGGTCCCTTCGCCCAGAAGTAGTAAAATCAATTTTCCATCAGTGGGGCTTTCCCCAAATAGACCTGTTCGCTATGTGATGCAACAGGAAGTGTCAGCGATTCTGCTCCTTCCTGAGTCACAGCCCGGGCCCCATCGCAGACGCGTTCCTCCTCCTATATGCGTTCCCGCTTGTCCCTCTCGTTCACAAGGTGCTCCTCAAGATTCACAGGGACCAAGCTTTGGTGATATTGATAACTCCAGCGTGACCCCACCAGCACTGGTACACATCACTCCTGGAAATGTCCGTGGAAACTCCAGTCACCCTGCCACTCTTCCCAGACCTAATAATGCAGGATCACGGCTGCCTCCAACATCCAAACCTTGAGTTGCTCCACCTCATAGCATGGAAGCTCCATGGCTGAACGCAGGGGAGCTCTCCTGCTCTGATCAAGCCAGACAAGTTCTCCTTGGCAGCAGAAAACCTTCCACAAGAGCTACTTACCTTGCCAAGTGGAAGAGATTTTCAATCTGGTCGGAGCAGCACCTCTCGTCCCCGACACTCGCCTCGGTGCCACTTACACCGGATTATCTTCTCCATCTTAAAGCAGCAGGAGCTGTCCATGTCATCAGGAAGGGTTCACTTGGCCGCCATCTCTGCTTTCCACCCAGGCGCAGAGGGCTGCTCGGTCTTTGTGAATCTGATGGTCAGCCGTTTCCTTAAAGGTCTCAACAGGCTATACCCGCAGATCTGACAGCCTATCCCAGCTTGGGACCTCAATCTAGTCCTTTCCAGATTTACGGGATTGCCATTTGAGCCCTTGGCGATGTGCTCCCATCTCTCTCTCTCATTCAACGTGGTGTTTCTGGTAGCGATAACCTCAGCTAGGAGGGTGTGAGAGCTCAGGGCCCTAACATCAGAGCCCCCTTACACTGTATTCCATAAGGACAAGGTTCAACTCAGGCCTCACCTGGCTTTTCTCTCAAAGGGTGTGTCTCAATTTCACATCAACCAGGACATCTTTCTCCCTATATTCTACCCTAAGCCGCATTCCATCGCTAGGGAGCAGAGACTTCACTCACTGGATGTCCGCAGAGCGCTAGCCTTCTATATCGAGAGAACAAAACCATTCTGAAGGTCCGTCCAGTTACTCATGGCAGTGGTGGACAGAATGAAAGGTCTTCCTGTCTCCTCTCTCCTCTTCATCATGAAAGTTAAACTTACAAATGTAGAATTATGTAAAAGAACAACAACCTGCATTCAAAAATAAAACATTTTGTAAAACGTGAGCGCCTACAAGTCCACTCAGTCCTACTTCTCATTCAGCCAATCACTCAGACAGTTTGTTTACATTTACAGGACATAATGCTGCCCTCTTCTTATTTACAGTGTCACCAGAAAGTGAGAACAGGCATTCGCACGGCACTGTTGTAGCCAACTGTGATGGGTTGGATCACAGAAACCCCTTTGGGGCTGCCAACTGATGTGCCAAGACTACTTCCACCCCTGCTTTCCCTGCCAGCTTGGGACTCCAGCACGCTGTCCTGTTAAGCCAGACCCGCCAGTCTGCTCCAACACAGACCCAGGGTCTGAACCACGTGCCCCAAAGCTGCAGACTTAATTGAAAGCAGCTTAAGAAGTGTTCCTGTCTTTAACACTCAGATGCCCAACTCCCAATGGGGTCCAAACCCCAAATCAGTTTTACCCTGTATAAAGCTTATACAGGGTAAACTCATAAATTGTTCGCCCTCTATAACACTGATAGAGAGATTAATATTAATAATAATACATACTCTGGGTTAATTAATAAATTAAAAAGTGATTTTATTAAATACAGAAAGTAGGATTTAAGTGGTTCCAAGTAGTAACAGACAAAACAAAGTGAATTACCAAACAAAATAAAATAAAACACGCAAGTCTATGCCTAATACAGTAAGAAAGCTGAATACAGATTAAAATCTCACCCTCAGAGATGTTTCAATAAGCAAGGAGTAATGGTCTCAAGTTGCAGTTGGGGAGGTTTAGATTGGATATTAGGAAAAAAATTTTCACTAGCAGGTGGTGAAGTACTGGAATGGGTTACCTAGGGAGGTGGTGGAATCTCCTTCCTTAGAGGTTTTTAAGGTCAGGCTTGACAAAGCGCTGGCTGGGATGATTTAGTTGGGGATTGGTCCTGCTTTGAGCAGGGGGTTGGACTAGATGACCTCCTGAGGTCCCTTCCAACCCTGATATTCTATGCTTCTATCACAGACTGGATGCCTTCCTAATCTGGGCACAATCCTTTCCCCTGGTACAATCTTTGCTCCAGCTCTCATGGTAGCTAGGGGATTTCTCATGATTGCAGCCCCCTTTGTTCTGTTCTACCCCCTTATATAGATTTGGCACAAGGTGGGAATCTTTTGTCTCTCTCGGTCCCCACCCCTTCTAAATAGAAAAGCACCAGGTTAAAGATGGATTCCAGTTCAGGTGACATGATCACATGTCACTGTAAGACTTTATTACCCACTTGCCAGTACACATGTATACAGGAAGACTTACAAGTAAAAACAGAGCCATCTACAGACAATTGTCCTGGTTGATGGGAGCCATCAAGATTCCAAACCACCATTAATGGCCCACACTTTGCATAATTACAATAGCCCCTCAGAGTTATATTTCATATTTCTAGTTTCAGATTCAAGAGTGATACATTTATACAAATAGGATGACCACACTCAGTAGAGTATAAGATTTGTAATGATATCTTACAAGATACCTTTTGCATGAAGCATATTTGTTCCATTATATTCACACATCAGCATACTTTCATAAAATCATATAGAGTGCAACGTCACACCGACATCACAAGATATTTACATGCCAGATGCACTAAAGATTCATATGTCCCTTGATGCTTCAACCACCATTCCAGAGGACATGCGTCCATGCAGATGACGGGTTCTGCTTGATAACGATCCAGAGCAGTGCGGACCAACGCATGTTCATTTTCATCATCTAAATCAGATGCCACTAGCAGAAGGCTGATTTTCTTTTTGGTGGTTTGGGTTCTGTAGTTTCCGCATCAGAGTGTTGCTCTTTTAAGACTTCTGAAAGCATGGGCCACACCCCGTCCCTCTCAGATTTTGAAAGGCCCTTCAGATTCTTAAATCTTGGGTCGAGGGCTGTAGCTATCTTTTAGAAATTTCACATTGGTATCTTCTTTGCATTTTTGTCAAATTTGCAGTGAAAGTGTTCTTTAAAACGAACAACCTGTGCTAGGTCATCATCCGAGACTGCTATAACATGAAATATATGGCAGAATGTGGGTAAAACAGAGCAGTAGGCATGCAATTTTCCTCAAGGAGTTCAGTCATAAATTTAATTAACGCATAATTTTTTTAACGACCGTCATCAGCATGGAAGCATGTCCTCTGGAATGATGGCCAAAGCATGAAGAAGCATATGAATCTTTAGCACATCCGGAATGTAAATGTTTTGCGACGCTAGCTACAACAGTGCCATGCGAAAGCCTGTTCTCACTTTCAGGTGACGTACATAAGAAGCAGGCAGCAGCATCTCCCATAAATTCTCTTCACGATTGGCTGAACGAGAAGTAGGACTGAGTGGACTTGTAGGCTCTAAAGTTTTACATTGTTTTGTTTTTGAGTGCAGATATGTAACAAAAAAACTACATTTGAAGTTGCACTTTCATGATAGAGATTGCACTACAGTACTTGTAGGAGGTGAATTGAAAAATACACCTCTACCCCAATATAACACAGTCCTCAGGAACCAAAAAATCTCACCGCCTTATAGGTGAGTCCACGTTATATTGGGTCCGGTCCGGTCCGGCGGGCTGGACTGGGCTGGCTTCCCCAGCAGTGATTTAAAGGGCCTGGTGCTCCAGCCGCTGCAGGGAGCCCTGGGCCCTTTAAATCATCACCAGAACTCCGGCAGTGGGGTCGGGTGGAGATTTAAAGAGCCTGGGGCTCCACGCTGCTTTACCGCGTTATATCGGGTCACATTATATCAGGGTAGTGGTGTACTACTTTTGTTTATCATTTTTAAGTACAAATATTTGTAATCAAAAATAATATAAAGTGAGCACTGTACACTTTGTATTGTGTGTTGTAATTGAAATCGATATTTGAAAATGTAGAAAAATATCAAAAAATTTAATAAATTTCAGTTGGGCATTCTATTATTTAACAGTGCGATTAATCACGGTTAATTTTTTTGAGTTAATCGCGTGAGTTAACTGCGATTAATTGGCAGTCCTATTTGATATGCTTCTAGTTTTGTAATAAAAACATTGTGTGGTGCCAAATCAAATGCCTTACAGCAGCAGTTCTCAAACTGTGGGTCAGGACCCCAAAATGGGCCGCGACCCCATTTTAATGGGGCTGGCTTAGACTTGCTGGGGCCCGGGGCCAAAGCCTGAGCCCCACCACTTGGGGACAAAGCCAATTGCTTCAGCCTGGGATGGTGAGACTTAGGCTCAGGCCCCCTGCCTAGGGCTGAAGCCCTTGGGCTTCTGCTTTGTTCCCCCTGCCCAGTTTTAACAATGCAACACACAGGTGAGCCAGACTGGTTTCCAGTTATGCTTTTGTCAGTGTTCAGTGAGGCCTAGGGGCCTTGGCATGAGCTGGTATCTGGTCTGCCAGCGGCTCAGAGGGCTTTTCTATCTAGCAGACAAAGGGATAACATGATCCAATGCCTGGAAGCTAAATTCAGACTGCAAATAAGGTGCAGTTGTTTACCAGTGAAGATGATTAACTATTGTAACAACTTACCTAAGGATGTGACAGATCCTCCATCAGTTGGAGTCTTTAAATTAAGACTCTCTCTTTTAAAAGATTGTGCTGTAGCTCACCCAGAAGCTCTTTGCTGGATAGATGAATCACTGGGTGAGGTTCTCAGCCTGTGTTATACAAGAGGTCAGACTAGATGATCATAACATGGTCCCAACATCTGCTCCCTCTGTTCCTGTTCTCATGCAGCGAAGTGTCTTTGGTGGAAATCCCATGACCAGGCTGACTTCATCAATTACCAATTCATTCTTTCCTCTTTCAGTTCTGCCATCTTCCTAGCGAAACAATTCTACATCTCCAAGTTAATTGAGTTCCAAGCCCAAAATTCCAGCCATCTTTCCACCACTTTTCACTCATTCTTCAAACTCTCCCGTACTTGTGCCTCTGCTTCTCTCTCTACTCAGGTTCTTGCCAATTACGTCCAAGAGAAAACTGACAGAATACCACATGACTGTCTCTCTTACCTTGGCTTCCCTTCCCTTTCCTTCCTACACATCTTTCTTCTTCCAAGTCTCAGATTTCCCTTGTTTACAGGTACATTCTGAGACCTGTCAGCCAGTTTTTAATACATTTAATGTGTGCCCTGTTGATTTTGTACCATTCTGGGGTTTTTTAATCAAAAATGTTGTGTTACCATATCTCATGCTGTGGACTGGGAGTTGGGAGACCCGGATTCTGTTCCTGGCTCTGTCACCTCCCTGCTGTGACCTTGGGGAAGTCACTTCCCCTCTCTGTGCCTCTGTTTCCCCTCCCAGCATTGGTTTATTTAGTGTAAATCCAGGGCAGGGACAATCTCTCACTAGTGTCTAAGCAGCACCCAGAACAGTAGGGCCTTGATCTCAGCTCGGGCTTCTAGGCACATCTCTAATGCAGATGCTGCTGCTAAGAAAGGCCTGGAGAGGTTCTGGGGCCCAGAGCAGTGAGTCTGTCTGGTTCTGTAGGGGTGAGAGCCGCTGCAGACATTACATGATTGAGATGCAGCCCAATGCACGCTACGTGATCCTGGGGGAGGACCGAGCTCACGCCTCGCTCACCGCGCTGGTCCAATACCATCGAACTGTGGGAATCCAGCCCTTCATGGAGACGTTGACTGTGACCTGTGAGCAGGTGGGTGTTGTGGACTCCAGTTGTGTCTTATGGGCAAAGGGTGGGAGGACTCAGACTGTGCCCACTGAGCTAATGGAATTGTCCCGATGGTAGTATTGCTTTGTGTTCCCATAGGAAATGTCCAGTACTTTACCAACTGGTCAGGCAGCCCAGACCCCTCCTACCTTTATTCACTAGGGAGCTCTAGCAGCTAGGCCAGTGGTTCTCGATCCACGGCCCAGTCAGCAGAACAGCTGCGGCCCACATGACATCCTCAAGGCCATACAGGTAGTATATATATTGTGTGGCTGCGGCCCACACAAAACATAGAGAGCTGCATCTGTGGCCCATAATGGTAAATAGGTTGAGAACCACTAAGCTAGGCACAGCAATACAGGTTAGTATTTTGGTGGGGAAGAGGGATGCTCCCATTGCATCCTTGGCCATCCCAGGGTATCTCTACGAGCTGCGCATTATGTCCCTGCCCCCCAGTTACCATCCTGGGGAGCGGCTCTCACAGCTGCATTGCATCCCAAGCCCCTCATTGATGTTCTGGAGGCAGGGGCACTCCCATAGCTGGGCACTCCTGGGGACTGCTGCATCTGGGCATTTTACTTCTGGCTGCTGACTTGGAGACTCCTGCAGCTAGCTGTGGATCTCCGTGTCTTCTGAACTCTGCCCTTTTTCCTTCAGAAAGGTGATGGGGACTCTGATTATGAGGAGTTGAAATTCCACACCCTGGCCCCAGGCCCAGCAGATGGGGAGAAGCAGCCTCAAAAAGAACAGGCTGATCTTAATGGGGCACCTGCTGTCAGCCCCATCCAGCATGCAGGAGCAACTGCTGTTCTCAAGCACAGGCGGTTCATGAAATCAAAGAAATGCCAAGAGCAGCAGCTGAGCCCAGGCGAGGAGGGGGTGGAGCCGAGCCCATGTGAGGCTGGGGTGGCCAGATGGGCCATTCCTCGCCTCTACCCCTCCATACGATTGGCAATGCGGGAAATCCAGCAGGTAAGAAGGCTGGCGGGTTCTGTCCATCCACCCTGTATCCGTTGGCCACTGCAGCAAACACTGTCTGTCCAGAGTGTCTGTAGGTGAGTTAGAAGCTCTTTGCCTGGGGACCAAGTGGGGAAGAGGGCTCCCTGCAAGTGGAAGGCAGTGGTCTCCTCCCTGATGCAGGTTTTCCAGGCTTCTCATTTTCCATGCCCTGTGGTTATGTGGCCTCTGGATCAAGGATATATTCACTGGGAACTACAAGGTTTCAGGCTTCCTCACTCCTGGAGAGCAGATGGTGTGAGAGCCTCTGGGCATGAATAGCACAGGGCTCTGCAGGGCTTTGGTGGGGAGGTCCCCAGTGTGGGATGGCAGAGGGGGTTGTGTGTGTGTGATTGGGGGGGGGGGTTGCCATTGATCACCTGACATTGTGCCTCTGCTTTGCCCTGCAGTTTTCTTCCCACCCCTCAAATGGCTCCTATGCCGAGCTGAAGCCCCAGCACTGAAGGCAGCGGGGCCCACAGCAAGAGTGACATGGTAAGAGTGGGGCCTCTGCAGCGGGGCAGGTGGTAGATGCAGCTTCCCTAGGGAAGTCAGAGGAACAGAGGAACCATTTCATCTCATTGGACCTGTGGCTGCTTGGAGAGCCCCCCTGGACCAGCACCTATACAGATTTGGGAGTGGAGGGTAAAATGGGAGAGCAGCTGCCAGCAGAAGCTAGAGGGGCTTCTGGGAGCCTGCACCATAGGGAGATCGGGGAGGGGAGGAAAGCTGCATTTTCAGCATAGGCTTTTGTTTCAGTGGCACTGGGGTGAGCAGAGTGCTTCAAAGGCAATAACCATGTCCTGCCCTGAGGAGATTAGCCTGTTAAAGGCCACAACATATGACAACAGCTGGACGTGGGGAGTAGGAGAAAACGAGGGTTACAGCAAGTTAATCTGTGCTCTGCTTTGTTCAGCTGCGTGTACAGCTTGTGGGTCTGAGGAGCAGATAGTGCCAGTGGGGAGACACTGAGCAGGTAGCATTGGGGTGTAGCAGGGATAGTGAGGAGAGAGAAAAGCAGGGGGCAGAGCTGTGCAGGTGAGGTAGAAGAGCTGGGACTTGATGTGGGAGGAAAGAGCAGCCAATGATGGGGTTTGAGCAAGGCTGACATAGTCTAAGCAGCAGGAGAGGGAGGGTATTGTAGCTGTAGTATGTGGGATGGATTAGAGAGGGCACGGGGAGGGCAGAGAGGGCACTGGGGAGCGGGTGACCTCTGATACAAGATGGCCAGACAGGAAGGCTGTTCCAGGGTCAAGAGCTGCGGCCGAGTGGCAGGATTGGAGGGAGGCATAGAGGAAAAAATCAGTGCTGGAGAAAAGGCAAGATTCTGGAAGCAAAGCCTTTGAACAAGGACAGTGAAGTGGCCACTGTCTCCTCTAACGAATGCAAGTGTGTGAACCTGAAATCCAGGGTTCCTGAGACTTTTGGGAGCTGGAGACTCAGAGGGTAAGACTGAATTAACAACAGCTCAGGCCAATGTTCGCTGCCTCCACAGGGGCACAGCTGGTTCTCGGGGAGTGGTGGGGACAGTCTTCTCTGCTTGATTCAGAGTGTAGCCGTGTTAGTCTGTATCAGCAAAAACAACAAGGAGTCCTTGTGGCACCTTAGAGAGTGTCAGCCTATGATGCTAGCTGCGGTGCTGGGGATTCATAGATTGTAAGGCCAGAAGGGACTATTAGATCATCTAGGGTGACCTCCTGTACAGAAGAGGTCAGAGAATTTTATGCAGCTTCTTCTGTATTGGGCCCAATAACTTTGTTTGACTAATGCATATCTAATGGATGTACAGGCAGTGGGTGAGAGCCATGCCCCACCTGGCTGGTGAGAGCCAGTGGAGAGGTGTGGATGTCACTGTTGTCATCTCCTAAGAGAGGGCAAGAAGCTGGCTTCTCTCAGTAAGTTAGACCCTGCTGCAGAAACCATCCCTTGGCACAGACAGTCTGCCTAGCCATGTCCCAAATCTCCCCTGTTGGGGCAAGATTGTTGAGGAGGTTGGGGTAAAGCATCTCCAGCAATAACTGCAGCTGCTTAAACAGTGTTCCCCACAGAGCACAGTTCTGCCTGTACTCCAGAGCCTGCACTGGTCCCAGTTGCCCTCCATGGGAAGGTTTTTCATGGTTTAGGTCTCAAGAGGCACCTCTCTCCCCATGGACACTGCAGCATCTGAGATCATGCACAGTTCTGAAGCTAAATAGGAGGAGGTGGGGAGGAGCTCCTGGACTTTGGAACATTCTCCCTGTCCCCAAACCTTGAGTCTGGATTTAGTGATGTTCAGTCCATGGTATAAGACCCATCTACTCTCTTTGGCTTTTCTGTGTGTGTATTGAGCGGTGAAGATCTGTGGGCAACTGAGAGGCTCTTCAGGAGTACTTGTGAAGATTTCAGTTCTGTTGTTGATTGCTGTGCTTTGTGTCTTGCACCTGTAGTCAGATGTACTTGAAACATAACTACCATGCAATCCGCATTCTGGGTACTTCACAGACCTTCGTTAGCTCATAGTATGAGAATCGCAGAGCCCTCTCTGCCTTCCCCACCTTCCCTTTACATTCTCCCCTGAGACTTGTTTCCCTGCCTCTTACAGATAAACCTGGCTCAGGCCCCGTCCTCCTCTGGTACCACAGGGCCCTCCATCATCTGGTAGAAGCACCTGGGGAGATGGCAGCCTCTTCCACATGCACAGGGCTGGCTCTGTACCCTATGGACAAGACACTGGGAGAGAAGAACTTTCTGCAGCTTTTTGTCATGCTCTGCCACTAGGGAGCTGCTGTGTGGGCCACTCTCTGATTCTGGCAGGAGGAGGTGATGACATGACCAAGAGCTGGGGTCATTGTGCAAATCTGTATGGAAATCTTGGTGGTGATTTTTCTAATATAGCTGGAGAATGAATGCAGTGTACTTTGTGTGGTTAGATGTTTGGCTGCGTGTGTGTTCTCCCTGTGTGCTGTCCCAGCTCTGCGCAGACAGCTGGCGCAGCAGACCTCAAGCAAACCGCCCAATGACCACAAGATCCGTTAAGGTGTGAAGGCACCCGGCCAGGTTTATTGTCGACAAAGCACTGTAATAGCACCTGGCAGACTCTACGAGGATACTGTCGTGGGAAAAAGTCACCCACGCATTGATTTTAGTTCACAGACTCAAGCCTGAGGCCAGTTTATTGCAATACATACCAACGCGTTGGGGTAGCAGTCCAAAAACTACCACACCTAGCACATTACCCAGGCTGCTTTTATTCCTTCAAACCACAAGCATAGTACAAATAATATGTCATTTCCGAGTAATAAGAGTTGGGGTCTGTCCCCTTTTCCCAATACCTTCCTAATCATTTTACGAGAATTGGGTGCATATTGGGTGGGGGGTTTCTTGGTGGTTTCCGCCATGAGTGGTACTTGGCACCAGTTGGGATGTTTTTTCTCGTCAAGGTACATATTATTTTCCAGGGTTTTACGGTTAAGGGCATAGGGGCTTATCACAGGACGCCCAAAGAAGATAAATGATTGGATAGTTTGACAGTTAGCTGGAACTACAGGAGAAGTTGGCCTTTACTAGAAGCAATTTCTTCATGTAAGCGGTTATTATATTTCATAAACAAGCGGTTATTATGTTGCTGAGGCCTTCCGCATTGCTCCCTCCCCTTCCTTCCTCTGGTCATAATTCTTGACCGAATTTGGCAGGGAATTGTACAGCTTAGTCTTGTTCAGGCCCTGGCCTGTACTTCCTTCTATAAGGGCAGTCAGTATATCGAGCCTCTGTCAGAGGGCCTGATTTTGGGCCTTCAGTGTTACTTTGGCTGGCATAAAGAAGGCCCCCCCAGTTCTTTTTTTTCACAATACTAAGACATGTATGCCTGTGTTAAGGGATGCAGTTCAGTGAATGGCAGGACTTTCCATTCCCCCCTCAGCTAGTCAAAGATACTCCCTCTGGGATACATCTTTATATCCCGATACAAACAAGTTAGTACTGCCTCTGACATGGTTACTGCCCCTTGATGTGACTAGTTATCACCCATCACCTTGCTCGTGTTGGTTCGATCAAAACATCTCTATTATGTACTGTCATCCTGACATTATCTTTTAGGAGGGGTTAGTTTGTTCCTGTTATCCTTGGGGAATGTTTTTGTACCATCCTTGATATCAGGATGATCTGCTACCACTTAATATCGGGATGTGTTTGTGTAAGTACTCTGTGCTTAGCACTTCTTAGGAATGTGTATTTCTGCAATATCAGCCCTGTTTTGCCACATTCTGTGAGCGGATCCTGCCTCATACCAGGCCTCTAATCCAAGGGCTTATGTCTCAGGCTCTCTTCCTACTACATTTTGGTTAACAAATCTGATCACTCAGGCTGTCTCACAGTATTCCTTTAGCTCACAATTAGAGTGCTGATTTTCAATCTACCATTTTGAGTTTTCTCTGTGCTTTGGCAAGGTCACTGTGGGGGTTTGGACCTGCTGTTCTGGCAGGCCATGGATGTCTGGTGCTGGGGATAGGGAATGAACTTGATTTGTTCCTTATGCCTTTCTAGCATCAATAACAGAATTGAGACCCTCACAGAAACAGGAAGGCATTGCTGCCAGGGGGAGCAGCTGCCTCCCATAAGCCAAAGCCCTCACCTGGACGACTCCCCCATCTCTGAGCTGGGTTCTAGCCCAGAACAGATCAAATGAGGGACCTGTTCCTGTCCTCCCCCATGCCTGGGTCTCCATGGAGCAGTAACACTAAGTCTCCAGGCTGCGCAGTGTGTCCCATGGCACAGAGTAGCTGATGCTGCACTGTTTGCATTTTCTCTCATTTAACACATTGAATGTAATGAGACTTTTTGGAACAGCTTCTCTGATGTTAGGTGGACACCATGACATCTGTGTTCCTATGGTCTGCAGCCATTTCTCTGAGTCCTGGGTGTGGGCAAAGTGCTGTCCAAGAGTCTGCTTAGGGAGCAAAGAAATGGTTAGTGATTGGTAACCAGGGCAGAGATAATATTCACAGACTCCTTTCAGTGCTAAAGCAACTGTAGTGTGACATTATCCTGCTGTCCTAGCCTGTTGCTTTGGCTCTGTCCCTCTCTGTGCATCCCTTCACTGGCACACCCTTCTCTGTCGCTGCTTGTGTTCACTGTCAGGGCCTTCCTGGTCAATCCTCATCCTCCCTGTCCTATCCCATTTGCTATCAAGTTGTCGACACATGGGTGCATGATGCCAGCCTCCACTGCCCACCTGTTCGATATTCAAACAAGTGCCTTTATGCTTTCTCCCATGCTGCCCCTCAGGCTTGGAAGGCCCTCCCTATAAAAACCCTCAAAGCTACCTCATTATTCACCATCAGATCCTTTCTCAAAACTCTTTTGTAGTGATGCCTACAAAAAACATGACAGAGATTAGGCCAGAGGACACTGAGAGCACAGCCTATCATGCTGACCAATACTGTTTCATTGTTTCCTTGTACTCCCATTAGTCTGTCTAACCATCTATAGTCTCTTGTCTGATACTTGGAATGTAAGTGCCTTGTGCCAAGGGCCATCTGTTTTTTTCTGTCCTTGTACAACGCCTAATACATTGGGGTCCTGGTCCATGACTAAGGCCAGGTCTACACTAACCCCCTAATTCGAACTAAGGTACAGAACTTCAGCTACGTGAATAACGTAGCTGAA